TGCTTGAAGTCAGAAAAAAAAAAAAAAAGACTGATTCTTTTGATATCTGTGGGATACAAGAGCCCCTCGGCTGAGGGCACAGGTTCTATGGATGCCTCTGCCCTTCACTCCCCACCTCTCTGGCTCTTATTGCTCAGCACATTGTAGCCTCCTGCAGGTGCCCCCCACCACACACACACACACACACACACACACACACACACCCCTGGGATCCCCAAAGCCCCTGTTTCTGACCTGTCACCTGACACCCAGTCAGGTGACCTGCAGATGCAGTGGCCATACCAGTATTGTAGCTGGTGTTTGTGCCATTTCTCACAAGGGGCAAAGGAGTCACTGAGGTTATATTCTAGGAGGGACACCACCCAGAAGGAGGCCCCAGGGAGTTAGATTGAGCCAGAGTCTGTTTTTGTGGCAGGGTGGGAAAGCACTGGGCTGGGTGCTGCTGTTCTGTGTCCCTGGGCAGGTGACCTAATCCCTCCAATCGTTGTAAATGATGGATTGCATGGTCCATTAAGCTCCAATATGCTACCATTTTAGTGGTCCCAGTTCCCGCATCTGGGCCAGCCTCTGCTTCTCATGTAAGAGGGAACCTGCAAGGAAGAAAAGAGGATATGTTCTGTGGACCAGCCTTGACTGCTTAGGGAATCAGAGAAAGTCAGCAGGGAACTCCCCAAGCCCTTGACCCTGCCGGTGTCAGGTGCGACATGGTCAACTCAACCCAAGGCCAGGCCTGCTCCTTTCATCTCCTGCAGGGGCTTACAATTGGTTGGGAGACAGTAGACAGGCTAGACACATATGCCAGGAAGTAGAAGATAAAGGGGTACAGGTCAGTGTTATATGTTATTGGGGTATTAATAGAGCTGTCAGCTGAGTAGGAAGAGATGACAGTCACAAGGGAGTCCTGGAAGAGGGGTGCCCAGTAGCACTCCCTACAGTGTCCAGTATGGAGTAGGTGCTCAGCAAATATTTGTTGAATGAAGTTCCAGGGAGGGAGGCCTATTGCTTCATAGATGAAAGATGATGGTGATGATGATGATGGAAGCTAGCATCTAATGAGCCTTTCATTTGTCCTAAGTGCTGCTTTCTGAGTTTCCCATGGACTCCCTCTTTTAATCCTTACAGACGTTTTATAGGGCAGGTATTAACTATTATAATCCCCATTTTGCAGATGTGCAACCTTGGTACAAACTGAGCTACAGAGAGGTTAAGTCATTTGGCCAAGGTTGCACAGTTCATCAATGGCAGAGGTGGATGCAAACCCCTACTGCCTGGCTCTTAACAGCCCTGCCATGCTGCCTGAAAGGGTGGTGACGGAACAGCCTTCAGAAGGTGGGAGACGTCAGCTCAGCTTTCAGATTGTCAGGGCTGCAGTGTCTGGAGAAGCTTGGACAGGCAAGAAGAGGGGCTGTGCAGTCTTTAAGCCCCTGTTTCTTCTGCCTGTCCCTGAAGCAGGCTGCCTTTAATAATCCTGCCTTCTCATGGCCCACCTGTTCTGGGATTCTTGCTCCCATCCAGCTCTTTCTCTTTCTTTCTGGTGGTGATCCCTGCTCCTCTGTTGACTCTGGCATTCTAACCCCACCTGTTAGAGATACCTGGACTCTGCTCCCCTCTGAAAACCTCCCAATCTAAAGAACGAGAGTCCTCCCCAACCCTGAGTCCTTGGACCAAGGCAGGCAGCCCCTAATAAGAGGCTTAGGTTCCCGGACCCTAAGTCTGGAGCGGGGAAGTGGAGTTTTTAGGCCTTTCAAATCTTCCAGCACCTCCCAATTCCAGAACTCTGGGATCCAATCCCCACCCTTAATGACCCCAAGCCCCTTACTCCAAGAGCTGCCTTATGCTCACCACCCCTCCCCCCACCGGCCCTGCTAACAGTCAGATGTAGCAAAGAGGCAAATGCCAAAGTGAGTCTGTACCTGCTCCTTAAAGATCCTCCCCTCTCCACCCCACCCTGCCCATCACCAGGGCATAAAGGGTCAGGGCTAGGGGCACCTACTTGGTGCCCAGTAAGAGAGAGGCTAGGGACATCCTTTACTTCCCCACCATGTGGTTGCTTCTGGGAGTGCCACAGTGGAGGGAAAAAAGCAACCTCCACCCCAACATAGACATGGGCTTGGGGAGGGCCGCCCCTGCCTGGTGAGAGATTGGTAGATGTAAGGGGGCCTCTGGGGTGCCCGGCCACCTCGCAGCACCCTCCCCACCTCATGCCTGGCCACTATCAGCCATCTCCCCTCCTGGCATTGACAGAGCTCTGAGGGTGAGGTCACCACTGAAGATGTAGCCAATGAATGTTAGCCTGTGCCCCAAGGACTGTGCCCTGCCTGCCTCCACACCTTCAGGGGACGAAAGGAGACAGGATTGCAGGGGTTCAGAGGGCCGTTGACCCTTGCGGGTCCACCATGCATGGCACCAACCCTGAAATGGCTCCTGGAACCCACACCCCTTCCCTGTGCTCTCACCTGGGGCCCAAGCCCTCCCAACTGGCTTTTCCTGTTCCTGGCTTTGTGTGGCGCAAGTTCCCCAATTATGCCCACATTATCTCAGCCGCTGGGCAGCCTCCAGCAGGCTGGGGGAGGGGTGGGGAGCACCCAATTATCCTGCTGGAGAGGGCCTAGGGCTTAGCTGCTTGCCAGTTAGCCCGTCAGCAAGAGTGCTGGGCCGTCTGGCCCACTGACCTCACCATGGGACTGTTTCTGGAGTGGGGCCACAGCTGCACTGGGCTGCCATCAGACAGTTAGGGCCAGGACGACCACTGGGACTTGGGAGGCCAGCCTACTGCCTTACAGAGGAGGAAGATAGGGCTCAGAAAGGGGAAGTGACTGGCCACGGTCCCACTGCCTGCTAAAGGCAGAGGCAGGCTACAGCCTAGCCCTCCCAACTCGTGGCTGGATGCTTCTCCCGTTGTATTCCCAGCCCATGGGGCCTCTGCCCAGGGAACATCAGCTCTGAAGCACCCCACAGGCTGGCAGAGGGGACAGCTGGAGGGGCGAGGCTGGGGATAGGCCTGATGGGCCTTGAAGGGCTGCGTGGATGTGAATCAGCACAGAGAAGGGGGAACCTCAGGGAAACTTTCAGAACATGGCAGGGCCTGACTTGGTGAAGCCAAAGATAGACTTATTCAGCAAGTATTTCTTGAGTAGCTACTCTATGCTGAGCACCAGGGATACTGCAGTGACCTAGAGACCTGGCCTGTGGCATCTCGAGCAGAAGAGAGGGGAGCAACTTACTGCACTGACCATGGGTTTCGGGGCCCTCAGAGGAGCCTGTGCTGCGACAATGTCCCCGTCATGCCGAGGAGGCGAGTGAGCATAAGCCCCAAATTTCCACTCATGGATCCCAGACTCCTTTGGTCATTTAGGCCCTCCCCCTGCCTTGGGTTAGTATAGGGCCTGGTGTTATTGATGCTATTGATGACGCTCAATAAAGTGAGTGAAGTAAGGATACAAAAACATGAGGGATACAAATGACAGCAAGGACACGGCTTGTGGGGAGTTGGCAGGACTCAGGAGAGAGCTGGAGGGTACAGCCTAGTGCTGGGGACAGCTGCCCCACGATAATGGAGCTGAACCAAGTTCAGGGGTAAGGAAGCCCAAACAAAGGACATTCTAAAGGGGATAACACAACCCATGTGGAGAGTGGAGGGAATTTCACTCCCTCCTTCTTGCAAATGTCTGCTCTTTTGACTTCCATTGCGATTTGTGTAGTAACAAATATTTACTAGCATCTACTATGTGTCAGATGCTGCACTGGGCACTGGGGATACAGAGATGGAAAGGACAGACGCTGCCCTTGGAGGAGTTCACAGTCTGGTGGAGAAGTCAGATGTGTAACCACCACCTTCCAAGGCAGGAAAGAGCCGAGCTAGAGGTGGCCAGGTTAGCTCTGGTGGGGAAGATCAGGGAAGCTCCTGAGGTGGCCTCAGGGGGCCGTCCACAGGTGGAGAAGGGGAAGGGCCGTCTAGGTGGAGGGAGCTGCCTGGGTAAAAGTCTAGGAGTATTGGGTGGATAGGCTCTGTGCTCCATGGAGGCCGGGACTGAATTGCTCCTTGATATGACCCAAATGTTCACGCTAGATCCTGGAATATGTCACTCGGCAAATCGCAGCTGAATAAATGGGAGGAAGAGGGAAGGAAACCAGGAATGTGGCATGTTCTGAGGATCGGCCCAGTCTGATACAGTGAGAAAGTGTGGCTGATGGAGAGAGGTGGACAAGAGGCATGTGCAAGGAGGTCTGGCCAGGAGAAGGCATTTAGACTTCACTGTGAAGGCCATGGGGAGCTAGTGGAGGCCCGGCCTTATGCAGTGCTCACTTCCCTCTGCCGAACTGGGTAAGGGGGCCCAGCCAGTGCACCAGGGCATAAGGATTCAGCTGTGTGGGAGAAGACAGCAGGGTGGCCATGATGACAGTCACCGTAGGCCTTCGAGCTCACCCAGAGCCTCCTGCCTCTGACGCACCTTCTCATCCATCACGCCATTTGGTTCCCCCAGTAACCTTGTGAGGTAGAGAGGACTGGATTCTCTGCCCCACTTAACAGAGGAGGAGACCAAGGCCCAGGAAGGCAAAGCAGTCGGTGCACGGCTCCCAGGCCGGGGCTCTGCTCGAAAAGCAACCAAAAATGAAGGTGCAGACGTATGTTTACTAACACAGAGTGATGTTTATAATCTATCACTAAGGGAAAAAGCAGCTTATGGGGTAATATGTACAGCATGATTCTGACTTTTTAAAATAGATAGATGGTTATGTGGATATGCACAGATATAAAGTAAAAGAAGATAGATCCTTCAAGATTATCCTGAGCAGAAGGATCATGGGATGTCGTCACTTTCTTCTCATGATTTTTCAGTGTTGCCTAGAGTGTTTTTATAACAAGTAATTAATATTTTTACAATCAGAATAAAAACAATAATGACTGCTATAAAAGACAAGACCAGAGCACAGGGAACTGTGTGGGTGGGGGGAGGCTACGCCTGACACTGACCACTTTCTGCCGTCCTCCTGGCCAGGCGCCCACTCCCAGGTGGTCCAGGTGAACGACTCCATGTATGGCTTCATCGGCACAGACGTGGTTCTGCACTGCAGCTTTGCCAACCCTCTGCCCAGCGTGAAGATCACCCAGGTCACGTGGCAGAAGATCACCCAAGCCACCAATGGCTCCAAGCAGAACGTGGCCATCTACAACCCATCCATGGGCGTGTCTGTGCTGGCTCCCTACCGCGAGCGCGTGGAATTCCTGCGGCCCTCCTTCACCGATGGCACCATCCGCCTCTCCCGCCTGGAGCTGGAGGATGAGGGTGTCTACATCTGCGAGTTTGCTACCTTCCCTACGGGCAATCGGGAAAGCCAGCTCAATCTCACGGTGATGGGTAAGCTGCCCTGGGCCCCCTCGCTGTTCATCCAGAGGCCTGTTACCTTGGGGCGTGGCCATCCTCAGGATGCCTCAGTGACCCCAGACATCCCCCTTGGGTGGGCATGCTCCCATCATTCCAGGCATGAGGCTTCCAGTCCCTTCTAGCCAGGCCACCCCATGATTCACTAGGGATTAGGGGCAGGGGCTTAGCTCTAGACAGTGGGGAACGTCGTTCTTCAGGTTGAAGCCCACGAGGCACTGTGCAGGCGGCAGCATCAGACACCGCAGTAAGGAAAGGAGCCACCTGCACTGCTTGCCTTAGACATGCCGGGACTCTGGGAGACCTAAGCTCGATGACGAGGATATGACTAGTAGGACAGAGAGGACATAACATTAGACATGATGAACTTCCTGCAAGAGGTTCTGGGACAGGCTTTGATGCAGCACAGCTGAGAGGCAGGGATGGCCAAGGGGACCTGAAGACAAGGCCTGATGGACACCATACACTTTTGGCCAGTGCATCTTGGACGAGTCAACAGAGCTAGTCCCATCACTCTCTCTGCTTCCTCACAGCCAAACCCACCAACTGGATAGAGGGTACCCAGGCAGTGCTTCGAGCCAAGAAGGGGCAGGATGACAAGGTCCTGGTGGCCACCTGCACCTCAGCCAATGGGAAGCCTCCCAGTGTGGTATCTTGGGAAACTCGGCTAAAAGGCGAGGCGGAGTATCAAGAGATCCGGAACCCCAACGGCACGGTGACGGTCATTAGCCGCTACCGCCTGGTGCCCAGCAGGGAAGCCCACCAGCAGTCCTTGGCCTGCATCGTCAACTACCACATGGACCGCTTCAAGGAAAGCCTCACTCTCAATGTGCAGTGTGAGCAGGGCTGGCTGCCAGGGGCCTCCTGGGGTGGGCACCACTGTCCCTCCTCCCTCCTCCTCTCCTTTCTCCTCCCTTTCTCTTTCTGGGGGTACTTTCTTCTCCCCTCCTGTCTCCCCCATCTCCTCCCTTTGTTCATTTTCTCTCCTCCTTCCGTGTCCCCCTCCTGTTTCCATTCCGGGGCTCTGTGATCGCCACCCTCCCTCCCACACTTCCCTCTCTCCTGGCTGTTTCCATGCCACTGCTCCTTCCATCCCTTCCTGGCTGAAGCTCCCTTGTTGTAAGTCCCCCTCTCCTGACCTCACCCTCTTCAAACATCCCTTGCCCCACAGATGAGCCCGAGGTAACCATTGAGGGGTTTGATGGCAACTGGTACCTGCAGCGGATGGATGTGAAGCTCACCTGCAAAGCTGACGCTAACCCCCCAGCCACTGAGTACCACTGGACCACGTAAGTGCTGCAGGGCTGGCCAGTCACCTTGGAAGACGGCTGGCTGGACCACGGGTGATGGGGGGCAACCACCCTACCTCCAGGAGCCTTAGACAGGGAAGAAATTAGGGTCTGGGCTCAGTGAGAAGCGGGGCCATGAGAGAAACCCCCACCGCCAACACACACATATACATTACGTCCGTGTGTGACAGTGTCAGGGTCAGTGGAACAAGCCATTCTGCCAGAGGGGTTTCCCTTGTGATCTGCTTCCCTCCCTCTTCCTAATAAAGAGTTCTGTCATTTTCCTTTGGTGATTCAGCCTGAGTCACTCCAACCCCAACCCCCCAGTATTTATTTTTATCGAGGTGTCCCCCGGGAGGCTGGTGTTCTGGAGCATCTCAGCTCTGTCTTTGTTCCTATGCCTTCTCTCTGGCACCCCCAGATTCTTGGGGAGGAGGCAGCAGCCAGCCCAGAACGCCTGTGCTCATGGAGCACGTGCCCTGCGGCCCGCCATCGCCTTCTTGGCCTCACGGTCTTCACCTTGACCTTGAAGGGTCCTGTCTCCCCTCCAGCCGGCTCAGACAGCTGGGGCCAAGGCTCTTCCCAGAGAAGAGCTGGATGGAACACACACAAAGACAGGAACGTGGGGAACCAAGGAGAAGGTTGATATGGGTGGCCAGGAGACAGCTGCCCAGAAGGAGTCTGTCCCCTTTTTCTGGGGGCAGAGGGCACTGGTGTGCCCTACCTCTGATCCTCCACTTCCTGGAGTAAATAGTGCTTCTGAAGGTGTGAGTGGGCAGAGCCTGCTGGCCGGGTTCAGCTCTGAGGACCCAGGAACTGGTAGGTTCAACAGAATAGCTTTGTGGCCGCGGGGGTCAGGAGGAAGGAAGAAGAGCCCTTGTCTTTGGCAAATTTGCAAGTCACTTCCCCCATGAAAAAGTCCTGTGACATTCCCAACAAAAACACAAAGTAGTGGAATGGAACATACTTCCTATCTCATTACCCGAGTGGCTTGCCCAGGGCTTTTGCCCCAGTGGTTCTACTTTAGGTTCTCCTAAAGTAGAACCAAGGCATCTGTATTATTATTATTATTATTATTATTATTATTATTTTGAGACGGAGTTTCACTCTGTCACCCAGGCTGGAATATGGTGGCACAATCTTGGCTCACTGCAACCTCCACCTCCCAGGTTCAAGCAATTCTTCTGCCTCACCCTCCCAAGTAGCTGGGACTACAGGTGTGCACCACCACGCCCAGCTAATTTTTGTACTTTTAGTAGAGACGGGGTTTCACCATATTGGCCAGGCTGGTCTCAAACTCCTGACCGCATGATCCGCCCACCACCTCGGTCTCCCAAAGTGCTGGGATTACAGACGTGAGCCACCACGCCGGGCTGGCATCTGCATTATTAACCAGCTGCCAAGGAAACCAAGGACCAACAACCATGAGACGTGAATAGAAAGCTAGAAAGAGCGCTTTACCAGGAGTCCCGAGATTTGGCTGCAGCTCCCATGCTGCTGCCTGTCAGCTGTGGTTCCCTGGCCTTGAACCTCAGGTTTCATCTGTTAAGTGGGACCAGCACCTACTTAGCCTGCCTATATTCCCATATTATGATCAAATATGAAAAGCTGAATAATATAAAACTACTAAGTGAAAGAGATTGTTAGTATTATTTTTCTTCCTTCCAAGACAGATCCTACCACACAAGCTCAGCAAAAGGTCTAGAGGGCCTGGAGCCAAGTGGGTGACCCAGGAACAGCTTCTTCTTGAGGCTGGAGAGTCATAACCCTACGCGTGTCTCCCAATTCCCACAGGCTGAATGGCTCTCTCCCCAAGGGTGTGGAGGCCCAGAACAGAACCCTCTTCTTCAAGGGACCCATCAGCTATAGCCTGGCAGGGACCTACATCTGTGAGGCCACCAACCCCATCGGCACACGCTCAGGCCAGGTGGAGGTCAATATCACAGGTAGGAAGCTCCCCAGCCTCTCTGCACCCACGGTTCCTTCGCCACCTGCATCCCTCAACTTTGGGCGGTGCCACTGTAGGAAGATTATCTCCTTTTCCGGCTTCTCTACTTCTCCCTTGAGCTCTGGCCATTGGTTTTGCTTTGCTTTTCTCTTTCTTTCATTTAAGGGCATAAATGAGACAGTCACGGTGACCCCCAATCAGAAAGGGGCAGGAGGAAGGCTCCGGGAGGGAAGAAGGAAGTGCTGTTTACAGCAGTGCTGTTTTCGGGGCCAACAGAGCCTGCCCGTGGATCTGCTAGCAGCACACACCATGGGATGCTGGCGTAGTGGGGATAGGTTTGCAGGTGGAGCTCATCTCCTCCAAGGTCTGCACCTGTGGTTGAAGACCTCTTCGTGAGCCAGAAAGTGAGGCTTACCTCAAGCAGGGAGACCGGAGAGAAAGCGAAGATGTAGCCCAAAGCCATAGTGCTTTGTGTGCCCTGCAACTGAGCTCTCCCTGCAGCTTTCTGTCGACTTACCTATCTGGGCAAAGGGAAGACAAGGGTTAGGATGTTCTGAGGAGAGACTTCACCTGGGACATGAAAGGAGCATGGGCTTGATGTCAGACAGCTGTGACCCTGGACAGACCCTCATCTGTAAAACGGGGACAGTATGATGTGCCTTGAAGGGCTGTTGTCAGAATTCTACGTGATGTAGGTCAAGTACCTAGCACAGATCAGTCTGTCAATAAATTGCCAATGCTCCATGATTATTACCCTGACCTCCATCATTATCATTATTATTAATGGAAGCATCAAAACAGGTCCACACAGGGGTAAACTGCCAGCACAACTTCACATGGGGAGTGTCTTTTACAGTGGACCTAGGCTAGCTGCAGGGTGGCAAAGGGACAGAGGGCCTTAAAAGAGTAAGTGGTGTCCCACTGTGACTGAGATATAGGAAGTAACGTGCTCAGGGACACACAAGACTGGTCGGCAGTTCCTGGGCTCCAGCCACAAAGCTTGGGCAAGCCATGACAATTCATGAGCTCTGAGCCAGTGTCTCTGGAGTGGGAGACCTCATTTGTGGGTACATTTAGGGCACAGTTGCAGAAAGAGCCATGTGAAGTTGTCCAGGGTCCACGCCTACCTGTCCCCAGAGCCGTTCTGTCCCCTCTCACCCAGGGGTGGCAGTGTGGAGCCACTTGCTGTTGTCTGCAATCCCTGGCCTTGGCCCTGAGACTGGTCATATGAGGAGGAGCATCAGGGTTGGAGCCTGGGGAAAGCTGGGGGGTTCCCACAGGTTGGCAGGCGGAAGGGGCTGGTGTCACACACTTCTCCCCAGCGGGGAAAGTCCGAGTAGAGCTCAAAAGGAGCCTCAGGGTTACCCAAGCTCCAGCCCTGAAATACTGGGGGAGTCCAGGGGGAGGTGGGAAGGGCAGGGCCTGTGTTCCATGTGGAGTGGCCCTAGAGAACATGACCACCCCTCAGGGAGGCACTGTCACACGGGGGATAGCACAGACCTGGCCTGAGTGTTCACACACTGGCTCTTCCTAGCTGTGTGGCCTTGAGCAAGTTCTTCACCTCTCTGAGCCTCAGCTTCCTAACCTCTAATGCGGAGATACTCACACTTGTCTCAGGCCTCTTACGATCATGCAGTACTCACTGCGCAGCGATACCTTCCCCTGATGGTGGGCTATCAACACGTGAGGGGTGTGGGCTGGGGGCAGGGGGGCCAGGCCACCTAGGGTCCCAGCTGGAAGAGGGACACAACATGGCTCTTGCTGACAGCCCCGTTAGGCAGGAGCCAGGAACGCATGGCACTCACTGAATCATTGATAGGCCCAGGAGCTGAGTGGCTGGTCTCCCTCGGACCGGACTCTCAGCCCCCTCCGGAGGACTCAGGGAGGTGGCCTGAGCCTTCTCAGGGCTGTGTGTTCTTGTGCTCTCAGGCAATTTCCAAGCAGCAGCTGACCTCACCACCCTCCATCCCACATCGGCCAGTGCCTGCCACATTCTCTGGGGAGCCCACCCTGCAGGGCACAGCCATGCCCTTGCTCTAAGCCCCACTGGCCCAGAGGGGATGCATGAGTGAGAGGGATAAGTGGAAATTTAATTTTTCATTCTGGCCATTCGTTCAGGTAATAACTTTGCCCTGGGCGCATCTGGAAAGGGAAATGAGGAGTGACTGGGGCAGGGCAGAAGGTGGGCAGCAGGGGGTGTGCTGAAGGGACACACGTGTGCAGAACACGTGTGTGCTGGGCCACTGCACACCTGCGCAGACTCGCTTTGGCACGGCTTCTTGGGGCCCTGGGCCCCCAAGGAGGGAGCACTGAGTGGTTGCTGGGAGATGAGTGAGTAGGCTGGGCTGGAGGGCGGGGCGCCCAGGCCAGGGAAGCATGGGAAGGAAAATGGCTGGAGCAGAGTGGGCAGGGAGGAAGAAGCAAGGCCTTCTCTCTGTTGGCCACAGGGAGTCTCTGAAGGGCTCTCAGCCAGGAAGCACCATGGTGAGGTGTGTGGGTTAGACTGAGCATTCAGGGGGTTGCATGGATGACACCAGGACACCGGTTAGGAGCTGCCACCATGAGTGCGTCCCTAGTGGGAAACAACAGGCCCAGGCTGTGGCTGTGGTGATGGGGACACTGAGGAGATGGACCCGACAGAATCTGTGTGTGCTTCTGTGGGCTCAGGCCCCAGAGAAGCCCCTTTTAGAGGCTCTTATACAGAGGAGCAGTTTCATGGGGTGGGCCCAGTGGTGACAAAATGAAGCTCCCTCCCTTCTCCCTCTGGGGTAATGACAAGGCGGGGAGAGGCCCAGGGTGCAGCCTCAACCAGACTGAAAAAAGCAAATGAGGCAGGCTCTATCCCTGTGGGTGTCAGGAGGAGGCGGGCCGGGCCTCTCCAGCTGGGACCCAGCCTCTCGCCACTGCCAAGAGCAGGGCAGGGAGGCTGCCAGGGTGTAGGATGTCCGTCCCCACTCCCATCCCAGGGTGCAGGGCGTCTGTCCCAACTCACATTTCCAGTGAAGCCCGGGCTCAGCCCTTGCGGGTGAGGATCACAGTCTGCCCGTCAGGCCTGGAGTTCTTCAGACCCAGAGCTGTGGGCCTTGAAGGCCAGTGTCCTGGAAGGGAGGCGGGTGTGAGCCTGCGAGTGTGCTTGTCCAGCCATGGCATGGACATGTGTCTCTGGGCGTGTAAATGTGAACCAGTGTGAGCAGGCTCCGGCTGCATGCTGAGTGTGCACGTGGGAGCCTGTGGCTGTGCCGTGGCAACGTGCCATTCTCTGAGCCGGCGAATGGCAGTGTGTTGGGAGGTCTGAGAAGGCAGCTGCATCCGTGCCTCTGGGAGGATTCGGTTCTCCCCCAGCTTGCTGAGGCCCTGCCTGACGGTCTGACACGAGGCACAGCTGCCGCAGCTGCAGATGGACAAAAGGGCTTCCCAGAGGTGGACCCCAGGCCTCCCCACTCTCCCTGTGGCTGGCTGCACTGCATGCCGGGAGTGTAGCTCTTGCAGCTTCCGGGCCTAATCTGATGCCAGAGCATTTCCTGCCTGAGGAAGCACCAGGCATTGGTTTTGGAGGCAAACCCAAACATTCTCTTTGACCCCAGACCTCCAGATCCTAGATCCAGACTGTAAGCCCTAACACGTCACTGTACCTCAGATCTATCCAAAGCCCCCAGCACCAGCCTACCCACCTCAGGGAACCAGGACCCCAAAGCCATGCAGAGCCCCCACTTCCCCACTGTCCTGACCAGCCAGGGACCCCAGAAGAGAAGCTACAACCCTTCGGGAATGGGGACAAGCTGCTCCCTTTGTAAGAGGATGTGAGGGAGGCTGGCTGGGCCCCCGCCAGCAAACATAAATGACCCCGCGGCCTGGCTCTTCTCTCTTCTCCCAGCTGCGGCCCTTGCAGCTCTGCTCCTGGCACAGAGACAGGAGCTACTGGCTGAGTGTCACAGCTGGAGAGGTGGAGGGGGAGGGGAGGACGCTCCACTCCACCCCAGACAGCCCCTTCTGCTTGCAAATGAGTTAGGTCCCCACGCTTCTCCTTTCTTCTCTCCCTCGCTCAGTATCCTCACTCGAAAGTCTTTGATGCTGGAAGGTCATCCCAGCCATTCTGCTGCTGCTACACAGGCCCAGCCCTAAAGTAGCCAAAATAACCAGGGTTCTATTTGATCCCAAAAGATCCCCAGGAAAGAGTAAACCTCCTTAGAACTTGGGGAAAAAAGTTGGCCAGGTGCGGTGGCTCACACCTGTAATCCCAGCACTTCGGGAGGCCGAGGTGGGCAGATCACTTGAGATCAGGAGTTCGAGACCAGCTTGGCCAACATTGTGAAGCCCCGTCTCTACAAAATATTAGCCGGGTGTGGCAGTGCATGCCTGTAGTCCCAGCTACTCAGGAGGCTGAGGCACAAGAATTGCTTGAGCCTGGGAGGCAGAGGTTGAAGTGAGCCGAGATCGCTCTACTGCACTCCAGCCCAGGCGATGGAACCAGACTCTGTCTCAAAAAAAAAAAAAAAAGAAGAAAAGGACTTAGGAAAAAAAATTAAGCAGAAGTCCTGAAGGAGAAAAAAACCTAGCATAATCTGGTCCCAAGCCACCACACCACTCCTCCTGTCACCCACTCCAGAGAAACAAGGTCCTAGTGGGCCCTGTGCAGGTTTATCTGAGTCTCCCCTGAATACTTGCTCCACCTAGAACAAGGCTGATCTCTAAGACATAATCTTGCCATTGTAGAATTCATTCTGTCATTCAACAAATATTTCTTGAACACTGGCCACGTGATAGGCAATCTAGGTGCTTGGTATAAATCCATGAGCAAAACAGACAAGAAGTCCCTATCCTGGTGGAGCTTATGTTTTTGCATAGGAGGAAAGACAATAGATAAAATACATTTTTAAAAAATACGTAGCCTGGGCGCGGTGGCTCACGCCTGTAATCCCAACACTTTGGGAGGCTGAGGCGGGTAGATCATCTGAGGTCAGGAGTTTGAGACTAGCCTGGCCAACATGGTGAAACCCCGTCTCTACTAAAAATACAAACATTAGCCAGGCGTGTGGCACATGCCTGTCATCCCAGCTACTCAGGAGGCTGAGGCAGGAGAATCGCTTGAACCCGGGAGGCGGAGGTTGCAGTGAGCCAAGATGGCGCCACTGCACTCCAGCCTGGGCGACAGAGTGAGATTCCATCTCAAAAAAAAAAAAAAAAGTAGTAATTTTGAAGGTGAAATTGAGGAGGAAAAAAAAAAGAGCAGGGTAAGGGGATCCCAAGTGCTGTGGACCACACAGGTGGAATGGGCTTATGAGCTGCAGTTTTAAATAGGGTAGTTGGGGAAGGTCTTGATGAGAAGGGGCTGTTTGAGCTGGGTCCCAAAGGAGGTAAAGGAGAGAACCTGGGGCCCCTGGGGAAGTGGCTTCCCGGGGGCAGAGCAGCCTGTGCAGTGTGTGCCAGGAGTGGGGCAAGCCTGCAGGAAACAGGAACAGATGACTTCAGAGGTGGGGCGGGGCGTAGGGCACACAGAGCATGTTAAGGCTCTAGGGAGACTCATTGGAGGGCTCTGAGCAGATGTGACTTACACTTTAACAGGATTTGTCTGGCTGCTGTGTGGAAAACAGTCCACAGAGGGAAAGGGTGGAATCAGGAAAGCAGTTAGGCAGCCATTGCAGTCAATAATCCAGATGAGAGATGAGGGTATCTTGGATCAGGGTGGTAGTGATGGAGATGGTGAGAAGAGGTCAGGTTCAAGGTGCATTTTTTTTTTTTTTTTTTGAGATGGAGTCTTGCACTGTTGCCCAGGCGGGAGTGCAATGGCACAAACTGGGCTTACCGCAACCTCCACCTCCCAGGCTCAAGCAATTCTCCTGCCTCAGCCTCCCAAGTAGCTGGGATTACAGGCACCCATCACTGCACCCGGCGAATTTTTGTATTTTTAGTAGAGATGAGGTTTCACCATGTTGATCAGGCTAGTCTTGAACTCCTGACCTTAGGTGATCCATCCACCTAGGCCTCCCAAAGTGCTGGAATTACAGGCATGAGCCACTGTGCCCAGCCTGCATTTTCAATTATAACTTACAAACTACTTGGGATACCAGTCATTCTTGTGAAACAGATAAGACCGTACACTCTACCATACTGCAATGATGTGACTTGAGAGGTCCAGAAAATTCAAACTAGTTGAGGAAAATGTAGGAGAGCTTTATTTTTTATTGGGTCTCTGCTGTTGAAGAAAGCACAAAAGTAACAATAGTGAACTTATAAACTACTGCAACACAATGAAATGAGTCAATCCCAAATGATCATGAGGCTGCCACTTCCTCAAACCCTGTCCTCATTCCTGCAGAAGAGAAGAACTTTAACCATTTGAAAACTGGCAGAAGGACCACAGGCAGGCATGGTAAATTCTAATTTGCATTTATTTGCAATTTATACAGGCTTTACTATGCTATGTCAGTATGTGATTAATGGAATGACCTTAGCAATTGTTGCAACCAGAATGAGAGGTGCAGACCATTAGTACATACAAATTCGAAAGAGAAAAAGATCATGGTAAACTGGAGAAGAGAAGGCTCCTGAAGAAGGGGCTGGAGAAGTGCAATAGGCAGGGAGGGACGATGAGGAAAGGCATTCCTGGCAGGGCAGACTGCATGTATAAAGGCTTGTAGTAAGGAATCAACTTGGATAACAAGGACAGCAAGGAAGGTGAGTTGACCAAACCCAAGGTAAGGTTGCATGATGGAAGCTTTGAAGGCCAGACTGCACAGCCCAACAGGCAGCTGGGGAGCCATTGCTGATCTTTGAGAAAGGGAGTGGTTGTGTCTACACAGTGAAGATTAACCTGGTGACTGTGGGTGGGGTGACTCAAGGCAGGCAGAGGCAAAACAAAAGTGGGAGATTTAGGAATTGACCACGGCAGTAAAACCTGGCATAAGTTGCATGGTGGTGGCAGTGGAGACGGGGAGTTGTGTCGAATGGAGAGGGTTTGGAAGGAAGACGGCAAACCGGGTTGGTACAGACGGGTTTTGAAGTGGTGCTGAGAATTACAAATGAGGATGTGCTAGAGGTCAGGTTTCTAATGTGTCTGCCTAGAAGACAGTGATATGAGACTGTCTTGGAGGCAGGAGGTATGGGGTTCATGCTCCAGTATGTTGGGAAACATGGCATTTGACGTGTCCCTCTAATAGTTCACAGTGTGCATGAGAAGGTAACAGGCTCTGATGCTTTGTCTAAGCCAACATTTCGACCCCCGTATTTTTGCTGGCCCTTTGAGCCAATGGTTTGAGGTTCCATGGGCCACAGTTCGGGAGATGCTATGGAGATACAGTCCCAGAGTTGGGCGAGAACTATGTACCCTAAATAATTTGGAGAGCCAGCAGGATAAGGGTGACTCCAGAAGCTGATACTAGTCTGTCACTAGGAAAGAAAGCAGAGTCAGGGCTGAGGGTCCCAGGACAAAGCATCCAGCGAGACAGCTGGAGCAGAGAGAAGGAGCAACACAGCCGGAGATAGCACTCAGAGAGGAAAGCCGAGGACCACGGAATCTTGTATTGGAAGGAAAGGGACATGTTTCAGAAAAATGGCAGCTCCCTCCATCTGGATGCTGTGTTATCCTCCTGGCCTCTCCAAGTCCAGCCTCCTCCAAGAAGCCTTCTCTAATGCCAAGACACACCACCTCGTTCCCCTGCACCCTGCACTTCCCTGCCAGTTCCCTTAACATCTGCACGTGCTGTCTCTGAGTGTCCTTTGCTTCCCCGGCAAGGCTGTGAGTTTCTCGTCTCCCATGACTAGCAGGATAGATGCTCAGTATGTTTGCTGATTGGAGGGATGGTTGAAGAGAGGAAGGCAGGTGTAGACAGGAGAGATCATTCAGATCGGAGTCAGAACTGAGGCGGGGCAGGCAGGCTGAGTACGGAGGAGGCTAGGTTCTTCCCAGCTGCCTCTGGGGTACCCCTGGTGGAGGCTGCTCCCACCTCGTGGGGAGCAGTTGTGGGGCCCTTTTGAGAGCGGTAAACCGATGGGACCTGGTGAGCAGGGAGACGCTTGAGGTTCCAGGGAGGCTGCTGCGGAGACAGGCGGTCAGGACGAAGATCCCATTAATATGTACTGGGCAGCTGCTGGCTTACCTGCACCGAGGATGGTGGTGGCAGGTGGGGAGTGGGGTCCTCCATGGCGGTGTTCCTTTGCCAGCGCTCACATGTACAGGAGCCCCTGGGCGGTCCCAGCTCAGCCGCGTGACCTTGGATGAGTAAGTGGCCTCCCTTCCTTGAGCCCTGTGTTTTCGTCAGCCCTTCCAGCCCAAATTCCTGGAAGGCCTTTCCTCTTTCCTAGAATCTCCACCCTGCTGCGGCCTGCCGAGTGAGACAGCACCCCACACATGCCCCGGGAGGAGCATGATTCCCATGGAGTGAGAGATACTGAATCAGAGAGTGAGCAGGCAGCAGTATACCGGCAAACTGGCCCTTTACGTGGGCCTGGAGCGAGGAGGCCCTGGAGTGAGGAGGGCCTGAGCGGCTGAGGTCAGCCTTCTGGGCTTGCCCTAGACCCGCAGCCTAGTGCCTCTGACTGAGGCCAGCTATGGTCTCCGGTGCCACCCTGTGGTGGTGCCAGGAACCGTTTCCCTTAGCCTCACCTCAGGGCCTCTTTGGCCTGTGGAATGGCCCTGGTTTCAGCCACCTTCCCAGGCAAGGGAAGGGGCAGCGTTGGCCAAATAACGGTACTGTGGCCCGGCCCCACTGGCACAGAAAGCCACCCGTCCAGCCTTCTCTCCCATCCCACCTGCTTCCTTTCTCTTCTTTTCACCTTTCCTGCCTCCTTGTTTCGGCTGTGTCCACTGAGCATACAGATTTGCCCATTCACGTTCATCATGTCAGCACAGGTGTGCGGGCCCTCCCAGCATGTGCTCTCTGAGTGACAGGCTTGCTATGATGGCAAGGGTGCGTGCCTGTGCCTGTGCCCACTTGCGTGTACTCGACATTGCCACACACGCACACACGCACGTGCTTTCACCCCCATTTCTGCCGTCCTTGCGCTGTGCTCGTGCCCTGCCATGCTGGTGTCTTACACTTATAACCCAGGCTGGCAGCACTGCCAGGCCCCCACCTTGCCCTGCAGGCCCAGACCACAGCCAAGAACCACAGCCCTGGTTTCTGGCACCTTGGCAGCTGATTGGCACTCACGGGGCATCTCCTGAGCCAGTGCCTGGGAACCTGTTTTCCCTGTGCCCTGCAGGCAGACAAAATCAGGTGCAGAACACCTAGGTGGCTCCTGGTTCTGGGTCTTGGAAGCCAAGGCGATGGGGTTGGGACACAGTGACTGCCAGGTGTCTGGCAGAGGGGTATCGGTGACATTTGCGCACGTTCTATGTGCAGGAAAAGCAACGTTGCATTATTGCTGGGTGACCTCAGGCAAGTTATTTAACCTCTGCAAGCCTCTGCTCCTCGGATATCCAATGAGAATGAATGGCATACCTCCTCAGGGTTGTGGCAGTGAATGGCCACATCGAGTGGACAGTGTGCTGAAGCTGGCAGTAGCACATGTGTCTCACTGGACCATGAGTGGGGATTCAGCTGGGCCAGCACTACACCAAGGACAGTGGGGATGGAAGGCCCTGGTGCTGTGGGTACTGCCTTCTGCCTCTCCTCTTGCCTGTCTCACTCCAGCTACCAACGCTGCAGCATGTTAGGGCTCCAGGAAGGGTGGGGTGCTGCGGGGCCTCGAACTGGAGCTGCTCAAACCTGGGGTGCAGACAGCCTGTCCTTCCTGGCCTCTCCTTTCCCTGCCCCCCGCCTCCCTCCTACCCCTTCGACACCCCAGGAGCACACGCTGATGCTGTCCCCTCCATCTCTTTTCCTCACCCAGAATTCCCCTACACCCCGTCTCCTCCCGAACATGGGCGGCGCGCCGGGCCGGTGCCCACGGCCATCATTGGGGGCGTGGCGGGGAGCGTCCTGCTGGTGCTGATTGTGGTCGGCGGGATCGTGGTCGCCCTGCGGCGGCGCCGGCACACCTTCAAGGGTGACTACAGCACCAAGAAGCACGTGTATGGCAACGGCTACAGCAAGGCAGGCATCCCTCAGCACCACCCGCCGATGGCGCAGAACCTGCAGTACCCCGACGACTCGGACGACGAGAAGAAGGCCGGCCCGCTGGGTGGAAGCAGCTATGAGGAGGAGGAAGAGGAGGAGGGCGGTGGAGGGGGCGAGCGCAAGGTGGGCGGCCCCCACCCCAAATATGACGAGGACGCCAAGCGGCCCTACTTCACCGTGGATGAGGCCGAGGCCCGTCAGGACGGCTACGGGGACCGGACTCTGGGCTACCAGTACGACCCTGAGCAGCTGGACTTGGCTGAGAACATGGTTTCTCAGAATGACGGGTCTTTCATTTCCAAGAAGGAGTGGTACGTGTAGCCCCCCTTCCAGAGCCTCTGTCTGTGCCCGCTCCTCCCCAGGCCCTCCCCGCACGCCCCCCACCTCCCACTCCAGGAGCTAAACAGAGACTTGCCCAGCTGCCCAAAACCAGCCCCGAACTCCTGGGGGGTCAGGGGAGCCCAGGGCAGCCACGACTTGGCTTTGTGTTTTATTTCCTCCCTCTCCTCCGCCCTTCCCCATGGTGTTGTGTTCGACTGTGGCTTTAGTGTTACTGTATCTTCCCTTTACGGGCCCCACCCACGGGCCCCACCCGCCTGCCCTCTGTGTAGGGAGCCCTGTTCTCGTCTTGTGTACCTGGGCGTCCCTCCAGGGTTTGGGGAGCCAGCCTCCCCCGCCCCCCAACACTGGAATTTGTGTTTCTTCACTGGGGGTGGAGGGCTCAGGGGGCTCTAAGAGGGAAAAGCCCCCCACACCCCCAGATGCTGCTCCTCCTCCCGGGGAGAGGGATCCCAACACCCACCAGTGAAAGCTGATGCATCCAGGAGTTTGGACCTTGGGTCTGGACAGCCTGTGTACCCAAAAGGTAGGGGGAGGGGTGCGGCTTCTCCCCAGTTCCCAGGGAGTCTTGTTTGTGAAGCGGGGCCTTGGGCAGTGTTTTCCTGCTGAGGGTGGTTTTGCATTTTTTTTCCTCATTGGCCCACAGAGAGTGGAGTTGGCCTAGCTCTGATGTGTTCCCTCTTTATCCCCAATGTGCGCCCTCCATTAGGGGCTCCAGATGGGCTCCGGCCCACACTTGCTCCTGCCTCTGCTGACACATGCACACACACACACACACACACACACACACACACACACACACACACACACACACACACACACACACACACACACACACACACACACACACACACACAAACACACACACACACACACACACACACACACACACACACACACACACACACACACACCCACACACACACACACACACACACACACACACACACACACACACACACACACACACACACACACACACACACACACACACACACACACACACACACACACACACACACACACACATGCACACACACACACACACACACATGCACACACTGCTCCTCTCTGCCTGCTCTCCCCTGGGGTCCCATGCCCTGCCCCATCCTGACACTGCCCAAGGCCCACCCATCTATTTCCACCTGGTTCCCCCTTTAAGCTGAGAATGGGGGCAGCCTATAGAAGCTTCCAGAGATGGCTGAGACTGGGCCCTCGGTGCCTCCACCCTAGGATCTCAGGCCCACCCCAAACTGCTTCTTACAGCATGGAGGTTTCTCTGATTTCTCCCTTATCTAGCAACACTTGGTTCTGTTGGCTAGTCAGGGCTGGGATCCCAGGGGGAACCACCTGCAGGAGTCAGAAGTGAAGAAACATCCACACAGAGGGCAGTGGAGAAGGAAGCCCACATGGCAGAAGCTCTGCAAACACAGTCTGAGGGACTGAGGAGTCCATAGGATGCCTCACACACAAAGGCCATTGTCAAAGCCTGGGGCCTGGCAGAAAGTGAGGGGGGTGGGGCCGCTAGGCCACCTCCTGCACAGCCATACCCTGGTCCCCATTCTGGGATGAGGGGAGGGCCTGGGAAAAGCCCTCCCTTTGAGTGCAGATTCCCTTTTTGAATGGGACATTGAGTTCCTATCAGCCACCCCAGACTGGGTCTTCCCATGTATGTAATGGAGGAAGACCCCTCCCAGCCCTCTCTCAGTCCCCCAGCTCAAAGTGCCTCAGTTCCTCCATCTGCTCCCGGATTCCCCGGCACTCTAGACTTTAGACAGGCATGCCCATGGGAAGGACCCTGGGATGGAGAGGCAGGCTTCGCAGCCCTTCATGCCTGCCCACTGGGATCCCAGTTAACTCACCCCAGGGTGTCAGGGGCTCTGCAGGATGGCAAGTGTTGGGGAAGAGGGAGGCAGACCACTCTGTGCCCCACGGGCACTGACCCACCCTGCCATAGGCTTCCTAAGGGAGCCCCCCAGTCCCTCCCCTCCCCTCCCTGGTGCTGCTATTGAACCCCCAGCCAGCTCCATTTCTGCCCTGGCAACCCTGGGCCCAGCAGGTGGGCCATCGTTATCTGGCCCTCACTGCCCTGGCCCCTGCCCAGGCTGCCCAGTAGCCACGTAGCAGAAGTCTGAAGCCATGCCAGCCCTGGTGCGGCTCTCCCCTCTTCATATTTGGGGTACTGGATGGGGTGAAGTTAGGGGAGAAAATTATGGGGTCTTTCCAGCCACAGGGCAGAGGGAGGTGGAGGAGCTGGGCTGCTTCTCCCTGCAGTATTAGTGTCCCCCAGGGCAGGGGACCTTTTCCACATTACATCACTGCCCCATCCCACCTTACACTCCCCTGGCCCCTCTGCTTGGTCCCCTTTTCCCCCAGGCAAGAGGCAATCCCAGGGGCCTGCCTGATAGAGGCATTTCCTGTCCCTGTCTCCTCCTGCATCTCCTTTATCCTGCACTGCCACACCCTATTCCCCATTCTGTGATGGACTTTGAAGGCCCCAAGCCCAGCCAAAGCACTGAGTTCCCCCTTAAGACACCTCCACACCCTCCCTACAAGCAAAGCACAAATTTTGGGGTCCATGTAGCATGGGCCACGTAGGAGGCTCCTGACTTGCCAGGGGCCCAGCCTCAGCATACCCACCGAGCAGCTGCCAGCCTGGGCTGAGCGTGGGCATGAGGCAGGGGTCAGCACTTGGGCCTAGGGATGTGAGGTTTTCTGTGCACCAAGTCTGTGGGAAGGTGGGCACTGCTGCTGGACTCACAGACACAGTCAGCTGGCAAAAGGGAGGTCTACCCCAGCAGAGAGATGAGGACGTTTGGCTTCTCCTTCATGCCCACAGCATGAGCTGAGCTTCTGCTTTGCTGGAAATGAAATAAACTTGGTATTAATTGTGCCAAGGCCTCCCCAGTTGTCATCCTGCCTCTTGTTGCCCTCCCTGTCCTTGCCCCCGCCCCACACCCATGCCCCTGTTTCCTTACAGATTTTGATATTGTTCTAATGTGTAACAACCATCCAAGTCCCCTTTTATCAGAAGGGTCTGAAAAGCAGCAGCATAGAGTAGGTGAACACAGGCCTGCAAGTGCGACCACCTCGGACCTAGCACATGTGCCCACAGAGGACACACTCACACCTCCAACATACCCACGCACAGGTGTGTGTACACACGCACGCGTGCACAGCCAGATGGCCACTCAGCACAGATGTGGCAGAGGGAATGGTCTGATCCTGCTGAAAGCCCTTAAGGAGAAAAAAAGATTTCCCAGTGCCCGGGCTATAAGAGAGCCTCATAGGGGCCCTGTTTCCTGGGCATGTGCCCCCTCTGCCAGCCAACCCCCACGTGCCCAAGTCACTGGTGCAATAACTTTACTGCCTTCGTCAGAGCAGAGAAATTGGGAATTGTGTTAGGTGGGTGTGGGCAGCTCTGCTGAGCCAAGCAGACACGGGTGTCCCCTCCTCTGGGAGGAGGGGAGTGCTCCCAGGCCTCGGGTCCAGACAGAGACCACCAAAGCCTGACTGCCAACAGAAACCCTCTCCTAGTGAGGGGCAGGTGGGGGCACCCCAGGTCCCCACACCCACAGGGAGGCTTCACACACCGCCTACTGCCGGGGATGCCAGGAGGCAGGCCCCTCTGCTGCGGCCCAGGTGGTGAGGGTGCCCAGGCCTCTGCTGCTGCCACCGCTGCCAACACTGCCCAGCTTGCAAGGCCAGGAGGAGCCCCTGTCCCACTTGGTGCTGCTGCTCTTCTGACCCCTGCTGTGAGGAATGGGATCCTTGGTCGAAAAAAATTGGTTTTCCTTTTTTGTATAAATGAAAAGAATCCAGGAGAAGCTGCCACCCTCCCCTCCAAGCGTGATGCGCTACCTTGCTTCGGCGTCTTGTCGCCCTTTCCGCCTTTGGTCCGGGGACAGCCCAGCAGATCCTCCTGGTTCTGACCTGGGGGTGTTTACATCACCCCCTTTTACTTGTATTAAAAAAAAAATGATGGGTTGAAAATGTATTGAGGAAAAAAAATGTACTTTTTTATAAATAAAGTGTTTAAAACAAACTGGTTTGCATCCCATCGCTGCCCTGTTCCATGGCAGTGGGGACGGGGAAGGGGTGGAGCTGGACGGGGTGGTGCAGAGGGATGGTGAGGGGAAGGGACCCCCACCCTGTGCCCAGGTTCCAGGGTTCCAGAGGAGCAGGGGCCCTGAGGGAGACTGCTCACAGGCTGCTCCAGAACCATCTTCCATGCAAGTGAGAAGACTGTGGACTTTGACGGCAGCATCGTAGATGGAGGGGTGGGCGTCCACAGACAGAGGAAGGCCTTTAAGAAAGTAAGGCCTAAGAGGGCTGGGGGTGCACACAGCAGAGAGGGAGAGCCCTGCACCGGCTGGCGCCTTCCTGGGGGTATGGGTGCCTCCTGCCCCAGACTCCAGTTCCCCTGTCACCCACTCCTGCTGTCCTGTTCCTGCCATGTCCCCTCCTGTGGCTGTTTGGAGACGAAAACCAGCAGTGTCACACCTGCTGTGTTAGGTCCCTGGGGATGGAGAAGAGCTGAGAGCTTTATCCTTTCATCTTCTATTTCGAAGATACTGCCCAGCCCCAGCCCCTGCAAGCTCTCCCTGTGACCCACCCCTCCTGTGTCCCCCATTTCTCTCCAGGGGGCTGGTTGTTTGGAGAGAAGGTCTTCTTGTTCCTTGGTTACCTCCCCACTCTCCCCACCAGCGCCATCTGCTTCCCATCTCCTGGCCTGGAATGCAGGACAAATTGATCCTGGGGGTGGAAGTGGCAGGGGCTTCAGAGACTGCCCCCCTCCCAGCCATCCCTCCGTCACCCCCCGCACCCAGTAGCATCTCCTTTCACTGAAATCCACACCAACGACCCCTGGGAAAGGGAGGGGATAGGAATGATAGAGCCAAGATGGCTGCTTAGCAGAAAACCCTCCTGCCCGTGTGGGCAAGGTCACATCCTCCACACCCAGGACTGGGGCTGGACAGGCAGAAGTAGGCGTGCAGAAGGAGAAGTCAGCAGCTGTTGGCAGCTGGCTGAGCCTCCTCTGGAAGGCCAAACCCAGCATCCTAGGAGGGGCTGTGTTTAGATGTTGATACTCGAATGAGATGCAAATTGGTTGTTTAAGCGGTCACTTCCTCAGTTTTCCAGGCTGTCCGTTTAAGTTAATTTTTAATTTGTGCAGGCAATAAATGCTTAATTACATTATTAATATATTGGAAGAGAGCAGTGGACAGAACGTCCTAATTGGCATTTAACTAGAGTGTTCTGGCAAATTAGCCAAGACTCTCCAGCAGCGGAAGGAGGGCAAGTCGATTAGTCTCAGGCACAACCCCTCTGGACAGAGCTTTGGGCTGGAGAAGCCAGACTCAGTCCCTTCCCCAGGCCTCGGTGCCAGGATGTCCCCTTACAGACATCCCGGCCCAAAGGATACTGGGAGTCCAGGGCCATACTCTTAGTCTTCTAGTCCAGTTGGGCCTTAGAAGAACTTTCTGCTAGGCTGTGGCTCCTTCTGCCCAAACCACAACCCTCGCCTCCATCCCTCCAACACCACCCTCAGCAGAGCAGAGGACCAAAGGCCTGGAAGCAGCACCTGTCTGAGTGTCTAAGGTCCCCCTGGGATGTGTCCACCATATCCCTATCTTGGCTGGTGGGCCCAGGACTAAGCTCCTCTCTGGAGACCGTAGAGGCCTTTCTCTCCATTCCCCTATCTTACCCACTCCTGGTTGCATACGGTTAAGGAGATAAACTTGATGAACTGAAGAATTCATTTATTCATTTACAACACATTTTTGGCCACTCTGGGACTGCAATCCTGTGACAGCCACACCCAGCATCCCGGCTCTAACAGAATTCAGAACCCTGGGTATCCCCGATTCCAAAATGGCCAGTGCCATCCTTGCCACAGGCTGTCGCAGACTTGTGTGTAAAGTGCTGGGGTAGCACAGGACAGGAGTGGGTCATTGTGTTTGGGAAGGTCTGGAGTGACATTTCACCTGGACCTTGAAGGATGTGTAGGAGTTCTCCAGACAGAGATCTGTTAAGAGTATTTCCGGCAGCCTTGAGAATTTACCATCTTACATTAGTTGTTCTAAAAGAGATCATCTACTCCAACACACTCATTCTGCACATGGAGAACTAAAATCTAGAGAAGAAACTATGATTTGGCCCAAGTGTGCGCCAAACATGCTCAAGGGCACAGCTACATCCTGAGAGCAGCAGGAGGGGAGGAACCCAGGGGAAGGGATGGCACCAGCCTGAATCCTGGGAGGATGCGAGATCTAGTACAAGCTTCTGTTCCCTCTCAAAGCAGCAAGAACCCCCAGTGAGATATAAACTGAGTTTGCAGGATCCCTATTGGTGTTAAGTGGAGCTGTCAGAGTCAGATGGGGCTCATCAGGGAAGACTTCCTGGAAAAGGTTCTATCTGACATGGTTTGAAGAATGAGAAGGACATGGATTGGGTGAGAAAGTTGGAGGAGGAAAGCCCTCTGAACACTGGAGGGGAGCTCCAGCTAGACCTGCTCCTGAAACCGGCACTCTGTACCAGTGCCCACAGCTGGAGGCTCTGCCCCCACATCCTCCAGACACTACGCAGAGCAGCACTATGCAGAGCAGTCCTTGGGTTCTACCCAGATGTTGGCTTCTTGGACCCCAGATCCTATTTTCTCCCCTGGTTTACAGGCTTGATGGCAGAGCCAGACCAAGTCTCTCTCTATGGGGGACTGCGTTTCCACTTCGTATCCCCAGAGCAACTCCCAGATGAGGCGCTGCCGGCAATGTCCTCACCCCAGCCTCCCCTCTGCCAACCACGCCCCCCACAGCACACACACAGCACACACAGACACTCCAGGAGCTGGGGCCTCATCTAATCTGGCCCTTCTGGCAACTTGGCATCCAAGCTTATCTTGAGCTCCATGGAGAAAAGCACAGGGCTGGCTGCCTGGCTTGAGAACCAGCTGTAGGGCATCAATCATCAACATACATCACAGGCCCCACTGAGCGCAGAGAACTTGACTCCGGCTACACTCCAGAATCATCTGGGGATTTTTAAAAATCAGGCCTCGCCCCACACCAATAGGGTCAGAGCCTCTGGGATTGGGATTGGGGCCTAGACAGACTTTTTTTTTTTTTTTTTTGAAATGGGGTCTTGGTTTGTCACCCAGGCTGGAGCGCAGTGGCACAATCACGGCTCACTGCAGCCTCGACCTCCTGGGCTCAAGCAATCCTCTTGCCTCAGCCTCCCAAGTAGGCTACAGGCACTTGCCACCATGCCCAGCTAGTCTTATTTTTATTATTATAATTATTATTATTGGGTAGAGACAGGGGTCTCCCTGTGTTACCCAGGCTAGTCTCAAACTCCTGGCCTCAAGCAATCCTCCCAAGGGGTCTCCCTATGTTACCCAGGCTAGTCTCAAACTCCTGGCCTCAAGCAGTCCTCCCAAAGTGCTGGGATTATAGGTGTGAGCCACTGTGCCTGGTAACAGGCTTTTTTTTTTTTTTAGACAGAGTCTCACTCTATCACCAGGCGGGAGTGCAGTGGTGGGATCTCATCTCACTGTAACCTCCGACTCCCTGGTTCAAGTGATTCTCCTGCCTCAGACTCCCCAGTAGCTGGGACTACAAGCATGCGCCACCACACCCAGCTAATTTTTGTATTTTCAGTAGAGACAGGGTTTCACCATGTTGGCCAGGATGGTCTCCATCTCCTGACCTTGTGATCCACCCGCTTCGGCCTCCCAAAGTGCTGGGATTACAGGCGTGATCCACTGCGTCCAGCCCTAACAGGCATATTTTTAATAAGCTACCCAGGAGATTCAAATGGATAGCCAGCGTGGAGGCAGAGGCCACCCCAGGTGTCAGTCCTGAGGAAGAGGTGGGTCTTGAGATAGGAAAATGGGACTGAAGAGGTGGGGAGTTGGGTGATTCTGTGAATTAGCACACATAGGGTTTGAGTGCTGAATAATGCTATTTACTGTTGTCATCATTAATTGTCATCCGTCACTTTCATGTTCATCATCATCGTCACCTGTGAGACTTGGGATCCCAGATGACAGTGACTGCAATGGAGGTCACCACCTGAGGCAAGTAGGGGGCAGGATGGAGCCACACCCATAATCCTCATTAAGCAGGTTTTTGGGGTTTAGACCACCTATGGGCGCTTGGTCCCTGGGCATCTTCCAGAAGGGGAAGAGGGATTATGAAAGAGCCCAGGCAGGAGGTCCCATAGGCCCTCTCTGAATGGAGCTCTTTGCTCCATGATGCTGTCAACCTAGGAGAAGTGAATGTGCTTCATAAAGGAAGGTGACGGTTCCCCTATGTCCCTGTCAGGCAGATGAGGGAGGACCCTCTGAGAGAGGCGGAAGGGGAGGGTGGCAGGGCCTGTGCTCTTAAGAGTCCTCCACTCTCTGCCTGAGGACGGGCCCAAAGGTCCCTAACAAAGGCCTCTTCCATTCCACAGTGAGTAAAGACCTCCTTGGGGATGACTGAACCAGGGACCAGCTGGCCAGGGTTCCCCAGCCTGATCTCCTGCTCATGTCCACCATCCCCTCAGTAGCCAGCTCCTTTTCATTTTGCAACACTCCTGGGACCCTCATCCCTGAGAGCCCCTATGGCGTCCAGGGCAAAAAGGGACAGCAAGTAACAGAACGGCACAAGCTGCCTTCCAACCTAGGCTGGCAGCCCCTTGAGGGCCGGGATCTTGTCTTTTTCTTTTTTAATGTGATGCTTCACAAATTTGCATGTCATCTTTGCACAAGGCCATGCTACTTGTCTCTGTATCGTTCCAATTTTAGTACGTGTGCTGCTGAATCAAGCATTGGGATCATGGCTTACTCATCCCCAGTACCCAGCCCAGAGCTAGCACAGAGTGGGTGCTCAACAGAGGCTGAACCAAATTGAACTGATCAAAATGAGAGTCAAAAGAGGCCTTTTAGCTGGGCATGGTGGCTCCTACCTGTAATCCCAACACTTTGGGGACCTGAGGTGGGAGGATCGCTTAAGGCCGGGAGTTTGAAACTAGCCTGAGTGACACAGCAAGACTTGCATCTCTACAAAGAATTAAAAAGTTAGCCAGGTGTGGCGCACACCTGTGGTCCCAGCTACTTAGGAGGCTGAGGTGGGAGGATCGCTTGAGCCCAGAAGTTGGAGGCTGCAGTGAGCTCTAATTGTACCATTGCACCCCAGGATAAGCGACAGAGTGAGATCTTGTGTCTTAAAATAAATAAATCAAAACAAAAGAGACCTTTCAGGTGGTGAAGCCCAATCTTACCCAAGACAGGGGTTTCCCTCCAAATGTGCCCAGCCTCTGGTGCTGGGCAAGTCATTGCCTCTCAAAATAAGCCCTGATGCCACAGGGCTACCCTTCTATGCGGACAAAATTTCCCTCCCCTAAGCTTCACCTGTTGGTCGTCTAGATATTTCCCTGGGAAGCTACACAGAACAACTCCATCTAGCCTTCTTGGGATAGTCCTTCAAATACTGGAAGACGGCTACTCCTCACCAAACCGCTTTTTCAGATATTTAAACCTATGCTATCGTCATCAGGCCACTTAGCAACACAGCTGTTAGGAGCCTGGGCTTCAGAGTCAGGCAAACCTGGGTTCAAGTCTTGACTCCATTAATCAGTAGCTGTGGGAAAGCATTGTCACAATGGCCAGCTCAGAGCAAGCCCTCACACCAACATCAAACAACCCCAGTTGCCTACGGACCAGTCGCAGTGTGGCCGTGTGTGTTCACCAACCACCACAAATGGACCCCTCTGGTGTAGAATGTTTTTTCTTTTATTTTTAGTGTGGGATTTTTGATAGTGGGAGAGGCCATACCTATGTGGAGTTAGGCATTCTATTTCCCATAGACTGTCTGTACCTTCTACTCAATCTTACTGTGAGCCAAAAATTGCTCTTTAAAAAAAAAAAAAGTCTGTTACCCAGGCATGGTGGCTCACGCCTGTAATCCCAGCACTTTGGGAGGCCGAGGTGGGTGGATCACCTGCGGTCAGGAGTTCGAGATCAGCCTGGCCAACATGGTGAAACCCCATCTCTACTAAAAATACAAAAAATTAGCTGGGCGTGGCGGTGGGCACCTGTAATCCCAGTTACTCAGGAAGCTGAGGCAGGAAAATCGCTTAATCCTGGGAAGCAGAGGTTGCAGTGGATCGAGGTCGCACTATTGCACTCCAGCCTTGGCAACAAGAGTGAAACTTAATCTCAAAAATAAAATAAAAAATAAATTTAAGCCTTTTTTTAAAAAGCCCCTGGGCCGGGCGCAGTGACTCACACCTGTAATGCCAGCACTTTGGTAGGCCAAGGTGGGCAGATCACAAGGTCAAGAGTTTGAGACCAGCCTGGCCAATATGATGAAACCCGGTCTCTACTAAAAATACAAAAAATTAGCCGGGTGTGGTGGCGGGCGCCTGTAGTCCCAGCTACTCAGGAGGCTGAGGCAGGAGAATTGCTTGAACTGGGGAGGCGGAGGTTGCAGTGAGCCGAGATTATGCCACTGCACTCCAGGCTGGGTGACTGAGCGAGATTCCGTCTCAAAAAAAATAAAAAAGGTGTTCCTGAAGAAACATACACACACAAACACACACACACACATACACACACAAACACACACACACATTGCCATCTCCTTCCCATTCTGAGGGCCAGGTATTAAATACTGGTCCCTGGAACTGGTCTGACCAGCAGGGGATGGGGGTGGAGGGAAGAGGAATTGTCTGTGTGTCCTCCCTGAACCTGGCCTACCCCCTCTTACACACTAGGCACAGCCAACCCATCTAACCTTAAGAGGTTGGCATGGGACACAGAGGGGCTCAATCCTGGTGGTTAAACTTCTGGGGGCAGGAGGGGTTGGGTGGATGGATGGATGGATGGATGGATGGATGGATGGATGGATGGATATTTGGATGGGCAAGTAAACCTTTGAGTTGTTTTCATGTGTGCCACCTCTAAGCAGATCTTCTTAACTCTGTACTTGGGCTGCCTATTTACTCCCCAAATGTAATTTTCATGCATCTCTGCAATGTTTTATCTTGGTGATGAGGGACAGCATTTCAGCCTGTGGCATTCCTTTTGGATGCTGATTCCATCAGTTCGGTCCACAGCAGACATTTATAGAAAACCTGGTGAAAGGAAAGAGACAGGGCCTTAGAGTTAAACTGACCTTGATTAATCCCTGGTTCCACCACCTATCAGCTCTGCAGAACTTCGGCAAGGTGCCTGCCTTCCCTGAATTTTATTTCTCAATCTATGTGAGTAGACTACTGGGTTGTATAAAGATAGTTCATATATGGAGTAAGGTATTTGTAAAGCAGGTAATAGGGATACTTGCCACCGATGGCTGTAAGGATGAAAGGAGAATTGACTCCTTGTAAAAGCACTCAGCAGAACCCCTAGAACAGACTGAGTGCTCAGCTGCACTGAACTAGCATAGTATTCTTGCTTACTGTTATTTTCACCACTGCATATCTACCCTAAGCGGGGAAACAGAACTTGTCATGGAAACAACATCAAGTAGTAAGACACTTGCCAAGTTCCAGGTGGGATCCCAGCTCTGTGCCTTCCTGGCTACATCGTGAGCACCACTCCCTTATTTTCTCTCTGATTTACATCATCTCGCACCATGACCCACCAGCCTGTGGAGGGGCAGCACGGGTCTGGAGGAACCGGGATGTGCCCCTCAGGGCAGGGTTGGGTTGGGATCCCCGCACTGGGCCACCCTCCTGCAGGGGACATGAGGCCAGCTGCAGGAACGTGAGGCCACATTCACCCCAGAGCAAAGGCTTCCAGTGCCTTTTACAGTTTCATCCACAGAAATGCCCCAGGAGCCACCTGACATGGGAAGCGAGAGGATGGGTCTCAACAGTGATCATTTTTACTTACCAGGATCCTGTGTAAGGTTTTGGTGCTTTGTTATTTTTCATTTTCAAGCTTTTTTATTGAGGAATACAGTAACAACAGTAAAGCACGTGGTAACAACAGTAAAGCACACAGATCTTAGGGGTTCAGCTCCATTTGTACACACCCATGTCACCACCCCCGGATCAAGACTGTGAGTCATTCATGCTCCCTCCCAGGCATGACCCCCATTCTGGAACTTCACAGAAATGGAGTCATATCTAGTCTATTCTATACATAGAATAGAATCGAGTATACTATTTTTGCAGCTTTCACTCAACATGATGTCTGTAAACCTCACCCATGAGGTCTGTTGTCCATTGCTGTGTATTATTATCCCAAAGTGCGAAAAGGCCACAGTGTGCCTCTCTCTTCTACCATCAGTGGGGATGTGAGCGGTCTCCAGTTTGGGACAATTAGGAATAAAGTTGTTACAAACATTCTTGTACGTAACTTTGGGGCCCATCATCCTCATTTCTGCTGGGAGTGGAACTAGGGTTAGTAGACACAGTCAGTGTTCCAGAGTGACTGTGCCAATGTCGCTCCCACCAACAGCGTATAAGAGTTCCCATGGCTCTGCTTCTCGCCCACTCTTGGTGCCATCCATCCTTTTAGTTTTTAGTCTTTCTGGCAAGGGCATAGTGGTATGTCATTATGATTTAATTTGCAATTCCCCATGACTAAGGATGTTGAGCACTTTTTCATATGACTATCAGAGATGTAGGATTTTGAAAGGTTCCAAGGCTTTTAAAACAGAGTGTTTGAAGGCCCCTGGAGCTCAACAGGAAGGGTTGGTGTGTATCTAGTCAGCCAGGCTGGGGCCCTCTAGGAGAGATCCCTGTTCTGGTGGCTTAGGAGGCACTGGAGAGGCTGGGACAGGATGGGTAGAGCCAGAGAAGGAGGGGGAGGAGATGTGCTCTGGGGGAATCCCAGAGGAACAGGAAGGACAAGCCAGCCATCAGGAAACAGGAGTCCTGAGGCACAACAGAGTGACTGGCATGAGGCCTCGAGGTGTCATGGTGACCACACCGAGTGGGGTTCACTGGAAAACTTTCCTCTGGTCCCCACAATTGATCCTAAGCAATGGAAACTTCCTGGGGGGTTCATGACAAAAAGGACAGGGGACAGTAAGCCACAGCAAATGAGATTTTCCTTGTTGACTATAATGGGTTGGAAGAAAAGGGCAGGTGGTCAGGGCTGGGTGGCAGCTGACGGGAGGGAGGTAATATGCTGGCTAGAGGCCTGGATTAGGAGACAGGGGACTGGGCTCTGCAACCAGCTCTGCCACTTCTCACCAGGTGACCTTGAGCAAGGCCTTGCCTCTCTGATTCCATGACCCCTCTCTGCATATGGAACAAAGAGCCAAGATGGGAGCCTGGCGGCCTCTCCCAAGTTGCTCCTGAAGACAAAGCAGCAGGGCTGGGTAGGAGGTCCACCCCGAAGCTCTTAGACAGCCCTGACAGTGATGAATCACCGCACCCCACTCCATCTCCCTGATCTACTGCAATTGATCCTGAGCCCAGGTGCCTGGGGTGATAGTGGCCAAGGGCAGCTTCCAGAGAAGTCTGGTGAGCAGCAGCTGCAGTGGGAGTGGGGGGATTGGGGTGGGCATGGTCTCATCCCTCACTGTGAGAGTGACCCACTCTGCCTTCCCTGCAGAGAAGAGAAGGAGCTGCCCTTCTAACAAAATAAACAATCCAAGCTCCCATGAGAGGGGAGCAGAGAAGGGGCTCCAGGGAAAACCATGGTAGGAGCAGGCTCCCCTGTCTCCTCCGACAGCCCACTTAAGGAGTGTGGGGTGGTAAGGACAGACCCCCCCCCCACCCCCCGCCAAGAAAGATTGCGGCTGTCTGTCTCCAGGATTTCCTCCACAGAAGTATCTGTTCACCCTAGGAAGATCTGCGGGCTTGATCAATGAA